CGTCCTCAACTGGAGTTTGCGGTGCCGGTATGGAACCCTTAATACCAAAAGGATAGTGATAAAATTGAAAAAATACAACGTAGGGCTACACGAATAAATAGTTCAAGAAGCTTTTGTTATGAAGATAGACTGAAAAAATTTAACTTGACTACTTTAAAAACAAGAAGAGAAAAAGGCGATTTGATTCAATTTTATAAAATAAGTAAAAATATGGATAAAGTTAAATGGAATCATCCTCCTAAAATAATTAAATATGCAATAGCAAGAGGTCATACTTAGAAAATACAAAAACAACTCACACATTCTACCACAAGATTTAACTTCCCTACAAACTGAATAGTTAACAATTGGAATAATTTAACAGAGGAGATAATTAATTTTGAAAATGTGAACATCTTCAAAAACAAGTTTGATCGTTTCGAAAAAAACAAAATAAAAATGTAAAACAAATAAAACAAAAAAATATATATATAACATATAAAAAGGAAAAAAAAAAAACAATTTTGCAACGGCTGTCAAAGTTTTAACATCTACAGATGTTAGACTCACACATTGTATGTGTACAGCAAAATTTATTATTATTATTATTAATATTATTGCTATTATTATTATTATTATTATATATATATATATATATATATATATATATATATATATATATATATATGTGATAAAAGCTTACTGTCTTGACAACTTTAAACCACACAATATCATAGAGTTTATGCTAGCTTTTACGCTGTAATTGCATCACTATGCCAAAACGCTTGTCAAAAAAATTTAGTTTGAAATGTAATGCAGAAAAAAATTTAAACATTTTTAATAAAAGGGATTCTATGATAGTTTTGAAAAAAGTTCAATAAAAATGTATAAAACAAAGAAAAAAGTTACATTAATTTCATACTCTATAAATATCTTATTTTTTATCATATTGCAATTTTTATCATATTGCAAAAGGAATATCCCAGTGGGCACCGGACCAAAAAAAGACGTCTTTTGAACGTTTAAAAGACGTCCAAAACGTAGATAAGACGTTTAAAAGACGTCTTTTTTACGTCCGTGTTTACTGGGATATAACGACAATTAAACTATAAATAAACATATAAATTAAAACTATAAATAGAACTAGCAAAAACTGTGTAATATTTTAATGTGTCTGTGTCTAAGATCAAAGAAATGCTACAGCAATATATTTGTTCCGGCAGATAGAAAAATGCATTAGTGAAAAATTAAATATTTCTTGTTACAATTCCCACACGTTACAGAAAAAGCCAGACAAAAAATTGTCTTCTCTTCCCAGCTAGCATATTTACATTGGGCCATCGTGAATGTCGGCTCATTTTCCCAACGCAAAACCAACATTGATCCAATGTCATTTGGTTAATGATAAAATTATTACCGACATCAAAAAAATTTGATTGTTTTAACGATCTAAACCCAACGTTGATCCTATGTATATACCTCGACATCGATTCAATGTATATAAATCAACGTTTTTCCAATGTATGTAAAAACATCGCAAAAAGTTGATTGTTTTTACGAACTAAACCCAACGTTGATCCAATGTCTGCGACCAAACATTGCTATTGCGAAATTAATTAAATAAAATCTTCCGTGATTGCTAAAATATCAAACCACAGTCAACACAAACATGATTTTTGTTCAGATGATCAAGCGTTATCAACTTTATTTATATAAATAATCTTTACGTCGGCTATATATATATATATATATATATATATATATATATATATATATATATATATATATATATATATATATATATATATATATATATATATATATATATATATAGTTTTTATGGCCCCCCCCCCCTCTACGTGACACCTACTCGCGCCGGCCCTGTATATATATATATGTATATATATATACATATATATATATATATATATATATATATATATATATATATATATATATATATATATATATATATATAAAATAAAACGTTAAATCAACGTAGTAAATATAACCATTTTTCAATTTCAAATAAACGTTTTATCAACATTTTTTTTTATTATTATTTAGTTGTTTGCGACGTCGCATTTGTAACTATAATGATATAAAAACAACGTTGGCAGCCGACGTTGGGCCAACGAAACGCGCGACATTGTTCTAATGTTTTAATAACGTATGTGTGCTTATATATATATATTTTTTATTTATTTGAATTTCCATGCTATACTTTGCTATACAATATTATATCCGAAGATATTGTTGGCTTAGCATAGAAATAGATATTGTTAGCTTAGCAAATCTTTTTACCTCGTTTGTGTTCTGTCAACTTTTTTAGATATAAAAATCGCCCCTAAGATTATTGTATCTAAGTCGAATACATTTAAGGAAACAAATAATATCACACTAAATTATTGTTGTTTTTCTCTCCCAGACAGAATGTTTTTCTTACATATGAACAGCCCTTTAGAACAACGTAATATATTTGTTTTGCAGATTTTAATTTGCAAAAGGAATATATAACGACATTTCTATAATTCTCTCTATAATTCTATCAACAACTTTTCTTGTTTTTCAATAGTTCTACAAACTGTCAAAAAATATTTACTATTTCAAAACGTGGATAAAAAAAAATTAGCTTTGCAAAAAATTGCAATGATTGGAAGGCAGGAGGTGAGGAGCAACAAGTAAAAAATATTTTATCAACTTGTTGCCTCTAACGTTTTGGCTGGGAGAGGGGAGATGAATTTAAAGTGCTTATTCGCTCCCAGCCTCCAATCATCGCAATTTTTTGCAAAGTTTTATTATTTGACATTAGTATAAACATACAAATCTTTAAAGTTTGCTCCATGTCTGAAAGTTCAAAATCCTAGATCCGTCACTGGTCGCAATGTTAAAGCTTTTCCGGTGATAAAAAATATTTTAAAAACTAAATCACTGAACAATCGCAGGATTACACCAGCAGTAGTAAGCAATCGCAGGATTACACTAGCAGTGGCTGGATAGCTCAGTTGGGCGTAGAACAAAATTTTTAAACCCGGACTGTTGTAAGATACGAGTTCAAATCCTGCCACCGTCAACTCAGCGCTTGAGTAGTACTTCGGTACTCAATAACGGACGCTACTTTGGATTAGTCTTAATGACTATTTGTGGCTGTTCTTATGCTAAGCCAACAATATCTTCGGATATAAGAACATTGTATAGAAAAAAATAGCATGAAAAATTCAACAACAAAAAAAAAAAAAGTAGAAAAATCATTTGAAAAAAACAACTATGATAAGATGTATTAAAGTTAAAAAATAAAAATTATTCACACAAGTAACATCTAAATAACTTTTTTATGATTTATGATTTTATGACTTTGGCAAATAATTTTCATTTATAACTTGATGAAAATTTATAACTTATAATATAACTTTTTTTATGTTAATTATAATTAATTATGTTAATTATAATTAATTATGTCAAAAGTAATAAGTTAATTACTTTTATTTGTAAAAATAATCTACTAATACTACTCACTTTTAAAATTAACTTTATGTAATTAAATGTTAGATGCAATTTAATTATTATTATTTTTTAATAATTTAATTTTAATTGTAAATATATTTAACATATTTTAACATTTAAAAATGATTTACATTTTTAATTAAAGGAAATAAAAGTTCTATCCCTAATTTAATCTGAGCCCATACTTTTGTTAAATCAAGTGTATTAGCTGTTGTAGGTTTAAAACTATTTTAGGATTAAAATAAATTTTGAAGGTAAAGAAAAAGACAGGATCCTAAAAAATAGTTGGATTTGAGACAATTCCCTGCATTACTCCCCAACAGTCGAACGTTGCATGTACTTTTGTCTTTGTAGACGTCTGCGCTCGAAACTACTTTTTTTTTTCGAAGTTAAAATGAATTTTCAAAATTAAATTTAAGTTTTCGACATTATTATGGTTTTTCGATGGTTTTCGAAAACCATCGAAAAACTTTCGATGGTTTTCGAAAGTTTTTACAAAATCCGAAAAAAATTTTTTTTTTTTTTTCCGAAAAAAAACTTAACGTTTAAAAAAAAAACCTACTTAGAATTTATCGACATTCCAAAACCAGAAATCTATACTGAAGCCGTAGTTAAAAAAGTCATGAATGGTTTTGCTTTTCAAGTAAGATCAAGTCATTATATATTTCAAATTTCTAAAATGTTCTATTTTGGATGAATGATTTTGCGATCTTTGCTTCACGATCACAAAATTTTTCATCTAAAAGAGAAAAAAGTTTGAATCCCAAAAATCAAGGTGAAGAAAACTCTTAAAGGGTAATAAAATGGAGTTTTCTACACCTTGATTTTTAGTAAAAAAAAAAAAAAAAAAAAAAAAAAATGAAGTACTTGAATTTTGTAAAAAAAAAAAAAAAAAAAGTACTTCATTTTTTTAGCTTTCATATTGTACAAAATTTCATTCCATTTGTAGAAACTACCAACTTTGAACTTATTTGTTTAATATTTAAGTTAGTGATTTTTTTATTATCAATTTATTTAACCATAAAATTGCAAAAATTACAGGCTTACTTATAACTTTACAAAATTAGGTTCGGTGTTACTTGTATAGTTAAAAACTTGTCATTGGAGTGACAGCTTAATAAAATAAACAAATAAAGCAAAAAACAATCAATCAATAAAAAGTATTAATAAAGATAGTATCAAAATAATAATAATAATAAAAAGAAGAACAATAACTATAAAAAAAGCCAGACTAAAAGATGTCTTAAAAAAATGCAATTCTCAACAATAATAAAAATAATTAGCAATAACGTCATACAAAAAATGCACGAAGATATACACATAAAAAATACACAAATGATCAGGTAATATATATGATGCACAAAATTAATTAATTAGTTTTATTCTTTTTTTCTTTAAGCAAAAATATACTTGTTAGCAGAAGAATAAAGTGTGTATGTTTTCCTTGAATAAATTTTTCTTATTTCGTCCCCATGCCCCGAATATGGTTTCTACCCCCGTCTACATAAACCAGAAATCTCCCCTGCCACGCTTCCATTTTTCACGCGATTTCCACGTTGTCAGTATTCACAACAAATATGGCTTTGAATTCTTTTGTTGTTATTATTTTTTCTATTTTGGTACATGTTATTTGTGAAAATAATGAAGACAGTTTTAAAGTTGAGGTATTATCTATCCCGTCAGGCGTATGCGATAGGTATATTATTTATACATGCTTAAAAAAGCTCTATTTTGTTACACCAAATTTTAGAATAAAATCTATTGTAAAATTTGGTGTAAATTAAATTAAAAAATAGTTGTCACTTTTTAAGCTTTATCAAAACTTGTATTTTTAGATTGAGTCTAAATCTAAAATTACAAGTTTTTATAAAGATTTTTTTTTGTAAATTTTTTTGCATTCACGCTTAAAAAGTGACAATCATTTTTTTTAATTTAATTTTTTTTTTAACACAGAAACTTACATATTTGTTAAAATCAAGTTTTGTATTTAAGTGTTGAGAAATAGCTGCAAACAGTTTTTTGTATATGAAATTGTTACAACAACAGTTATATCGAAAACAACTTTTACTTTGAAACTAATGGAATGGAAAATAATGTGAATGGTGGTATTACCACCAACCTCCCCCCCCCCTCCTTTTGTTCCAGCGAAATTTAGTGGAAATGTTGCCAAATGTAAAGCTTTATTTGCCAAAAAAAATAATACCGTCGGTACTGTCGAAAACAGTCTAAAATAGCCTCTGACTATACACCCGAGTTGTTGGGAAAGCGTGTATCATTAAGAATATTTGAACAATAATGCTTGAATGTATATTATGATATAAAATAATATTAAATAGTATTTATAAAAAAAAAAAAATTTTTTAAAAATCAAATTTTCATTAAAAAAATAACATTTTCTAAAAAAAAAAATTAACATTTTCTAAAAAAGTTGTTATAGATGCTCTTCTAATGCCCCACATATGACCTAATTCTAATTTTTAAGATCTTTCTTTTGATAGTTTTATTTAGATAAGAATTGACAAAGTTATTTCATTTAAAGTTTAGAAAAATTTGGTCACTGTTTCTTCAACAAATCCATATATCGAAAATTCGACACATAAAATGCTATAAATTTTCATATAATTGTTTGATATAATTAATTTTTTTACCTTTAAAATACTGTAATGAAGCTCTTTCTAATGATATATAACAATCTAGTATTTGATTATTTAAAAAATTTTATATCACATACGTAATAAAATAAACGTTATCCTCTGTAAAGTCTGTATACCTATGTAAAGTCTGTATAAGCAAGTAGAAAGCAACTATTTGGAGTGTGTGGTAAATGAGTTAAAACAAATTATATTGTTTTTTCAGTTTGTAGGCAATGGGTTTACAAGAGATGCAATCGTATACATTTTTCTCTTGATAATGTTAGTTTTGAATTATAGAAAAAGTACTATACTATTATAAAGAGTATTAAAAAGTCATTAAAAATTGTTTAATTATTGAAATTATTATTTAATTATAGATAAAGTATTATACTGTTATTATAAAGGGTATTATAAAGTCAGTAAAAGAATTAAGGTAAGTAATAGTGGAATATATATTGTGTTAGTAAGTTTTGCTGAATTGGAGGTACAGTTAGCTCGTTTGATGAAAAAGATATGAAATCAAGGGCAAAAGTAAAGTTGGTCTGGTTCTTATAGTTTAAAGAATTGTCTCCACTTTTAACATAAAGAGTTGCTTTATTAAAATTTAAAGGATAGTCATACACAAAATGAATCATGATTGTTATGATGTATGACAGTAAAACATGGGCAATGAAGGTCGATGATGTCCAGATGATGTCCAAAACATGGGCAATAAAGGTTGATGATGTCCAGTATCCAGAATGAACAGATAAGACAATAATCAGATGGTTCTGTAACTTTGTATAAATCAAGATTTTAAGGCAGCATGTTGTATGTAAAGATGTAGATAATTGGGTATAAGCATGTAGAGAGTTTGCTGAATCTAGAGAATGGAATCAGGAGTAGATAATGGCAAGTACAATAAAGAGAACCTTAGCAGATGTTAACTTTGCAACGGATTGTATGTATGTTTTCAATGAGAGGTCAGTTGTGAACAAAAACCCAAGAAGATGTAAAGAAGAGGATTTAGCATGAGGGTTGCCATTCATCAGTATAGAAATGTTAGCACTATTGCAATAGTTGTTTGCAATAAATAACTGTGTTTTGTTAGAGTTAAAATTTACAAGACTATACCACCAAAACTATACCAAAAGTATAAAGTTAAGTCATTAGTAAACAGAGCCACTTTCCGTGTAAGGTTGTCAGGATTATCAAAGGGGGCTAGGAGGTTATAGCCCCGGGCCCTGCAAATTTAGAAGCCCCCAAAAATTTTAGAATTTTTTTTTTTTTTTATAGTTATATTTTAAGCTCTGGGCCATAAAAAGGCCTCCAAAAACAAAAAAAGTCCTGGGTCCCAAGAAGTCTTAATTTGCCACTGAGCTAACCACATTGTCCATTAAAGTGTATTCAGGCTTGGACAGGAATGGCGTGCGACCGCACTCTGTAACTGACCACGCTAATGTTTTTATTTCTTTACAACTTGACCACAGCTATTTCGATGTTTTAACGATTTGAATGCAATAAAAAAAGTGTTACGTTATAAATATCTTTTAATCGTTGATCTTTTCTAAAGTTTTTTGTTTTACGCAAAGGCTTTAAATAAAACCATAAAATTAGTTATAGTTATAGTTTACATAAACGCTTGTGTAAATTAATAAAAAACGTTATAATCTTTTTTTATGTAGGCATTTTTTATGATAAATATTAACCTTTGAAACTATTTTCTTATGTCTTCCTAAAACATTTTTAAACCATTATTTTTAGAAAGAATTTTTTTAAGTTACTTTAATTTGTGAATAAGTTCAAAAGCTTTTATGACTACTAACTTTTACACATTTTATGTTAATTACACAAGAATATAAAATTACTTTATTTACTTATATAAGCATGTATTTTGTTGATTTAATGAAAACGTTTTTAAGCATTTTGTAATGTTCATATAATTAATTTTTATGATTAAACTTACAATTTTTAAAAATGTTTTAAATAAACATTTTATTTTTTGTAAACAATTTTTTTTTTCAATTTTGTTAGAAATGAATGAGATTAAATCTTTTATAATAATTTTTAAGCGCTTATTAATAAAGTTGTAATGCTCAAATTAAAATTAAATTAAAAAGCAGTTTATTTTACTTAAATCGCAAGCGCATTTTATTTATTTTTTCTATTTTTACATATAAAAAAGTTCAATACCTTTTTTTTAATTAGACTCACTAATTAGAGCATGAAATTAGTAAAAATTACTATTTTAAGAAGACCACATTATTTTTTTAAACAATTTTTTTTTTGCAATTTTTTTGACAAAATAAATATTTATACAATTTAAAAATATTATATAAAACACTTTTTAATAAATTTAATAAAGTTTGTTCTTTTATTAAACCAATCATTAATAGTAATTTGTTACTTATTTTAAAAATGTTTTGCTTAACTTTAATAACGCTTAAAAAGATAAGCTTTAATAACGTTTATTTCATACGTAATTGTAATTAAAAACATAACAAAAAGTTTTGCTTCGAGTTTAAGTTTTTGTTTTCATTTTAGTGCTTATATAAATTCTTTTTCATTATGAATTTGTTTTTCGTTTCTTTTTTCGTTAGGAATTTTTTTTCGTTAGTTTTTTTTTTAATTTTTTCCTAGTTTAAGTTTAGCTTAGCGTTTCAACATTCAAAACATTTCTGAAATTTTTAACTCATCAAAACATATAAACATTGTTTATTCAACAATCATGGTCAAGTTGTCAAAAAATAAAATCATTTGCGTGGTCAGCAATAGCGCTCGATCGCACACCATTCCTGTCCAAGCCTGTGTATTGCATGAAAAATGTTTTGATAATATTTAATTAGCTGTCATAAACCGTAAAATATGGGTCTAGGGGAATTTTATTTCATACCTATCTCTATTTTTATACTTATTCAACTATTTATCTACCCTCTATTTCTTTGCTTTAATGTTTTTTGAATAAATGGTAAAAAAATAATTTATTTAAACATTGCTTTTAAGGAAAGAAAAAATATCTGCACTTTATTGTTTAGAGCTCATTAGATCTCTTACTCTCTTTATCTATTTCGAAAAAAAAAGGATGGGTCTATTATTTTTTACTTTATTAAGTTTCAGGCTATAATTTTTTTTTAAACCATCCACAGGTTATTAGGACTAATTACTTGAGTACATAAATAACATAACTACCTTACAAATGCGCAACAAATTTCTACCAGTATTTTGATGTTTTTAGAAATTTCAAGTTTGTAGGATTCGAACCACAGCACTTTGCTACTGAAACTCTGTGAGTTAACCACTTGGCCAAACAGGCGTATTGTCTGATAATGATTTTATAACTATTTGAGAAACAAAAGACTTTATAAAATAAAAATGTTATAGATCTAAATTAAGGAGATATTATTGCAATACAATTTTCAAGTAAAACTGTAAAACTTGGTATATGTTTTAACATGACATAGTTTGAAGTTTACATAAGTTAACTACTTGCATACACTTTCGTTCAAACTTTCTTGTAAAAAAAGTGCAGTGACTCTTTTTCTTCATTACCTTGATTTCAATATCTGCCAAGAGTTTTGTGTCAAACACTCGAAAAGGCACTCCTACTTCTATTATATTTTAGCATTATTATATAGATAAATAAAAAACTTTATAAAGCAGCAAACAAATGATATATAATTTTTAAGTTAAAGTTGAAAAATTGTAAAACTTGATATATGTTTTAACACCAAAACCTTTCCCAGATATATGAAGAAAGTTTCTGGAGAAGACCAGCATGTCAAACTTCATAGAAAACGTTAGCCACAGTAGTTAGCATGTCAGCCGAAGGGAAAGAAAATTGAAAACTGTATTGTTTGAAAGTAAATTATTTGACTCAAGATGATATGTTAGAAATTTGTTCATCAAGACTTGAAGACTTTACTAATAACAGATAGAATGCTGATCTGGGGGTCAGAAGTCAAGCACTTATTAAATCTTTTAGAGTGAAGTGAAGAGAGTTCTGGAGAACACTTTTGTAAGACTATGACGAATGTTTCCTGGACCACCAGCCATAAAAGAGTTTAATTGAGATATGATTTTAGCAATGTAAGTTGGACTAATTTGAATGCCAAACAATGGGTTAACCTGTTTAACTGGAATGGAAGGAAGAATATGTTCATAAAATTCAAGAGTCAAATTATAAGAAAAATTCTTTGCAAATAGTTCAGTCTTATCCTTAAAAGTGGTAATAAGGTCAGTCCCATGAATGAGAGATGAAATGTTAGACATACCTTTGTTACATGACACTGTTGAAGATTTTCCAAAAGTTTCTTGAGAACTTCTGAGTTCAAGAGTAAGTAAACAGGGAATAGTGAAATCAGAAATACCTTTTTAAATTGATTTCTTGCAATAATGAAAAGGTGTTTTTTCCCAAAAGAGTTGTTTTTTTGAAAAAAATGATTACGATTAGATATAGCAGCTGTACAAGAAGGTGAAAACCATGGAGTAGAAATAAGATTGACTTGGAACCAACAAGAAGGAATAAAATCTTCCAAACCTGTCTTGATCTATGAGGTTATGGTACATTTATTAGCAGAGAGAGAAAGGACAACAGTCCAAGGACCGTCATGAAAAAAATCTCACAAAAATTCCGTCATGAAAAAAAAGGACCGTCATGAAAAAAATCACACACAAATTTTAAATTAGTATTTCACAATGGTGAAAACTTTATAAAAAACAAGTAATTGTACAAAAAGTTATGTCCACTCAAAGCAAGTAAAATTTAAAGTAACAAAATTTCATTAGAAGAATTGCTTAAGAAAACTGCAACCAAGATGAGAAATTCGCATCCGGCTAATGGTACTTGTGTAATAAAACTTCAATTGTTAAATAGCACATTTTGTTTTGTTTAAATTTTAATTCAACATGACTTTAACAAAAAATAAATAATATTGTTTATTTAAATAAAAAATTTTTTAATGATGAATAAAAATTTTTATAACAAAAATTTATAAATTATTATATATTACAAAATTAGCGCATATATGCGCACTATTTATTATAAACATTATTTTATAAATATAGGCTTTTATGTTAAAAGGCGTATTCTACTTGCTGTGTTATTATATAAGTATATAGCTTTCGATAAACTAAAAAGTGAGTTTAAATATGAAGAGAATTAAAAAATTTAATAATCTGTATATCTATACTTATTTTTTGCAATGACTTATGGATCAAATCAATCAAAACCATGTGACTTGAGTAATAGCAATAGTTTTTGGGGAAAACAAGGTTTGTTTTCCATCAACGTGTTATTATTACACAAGTCAACAACTTTTCTATTCGGAGCCAATAATAAAAGAACTTTAATAAAAAGTTTTTAATTATTTTACCTTACATTAAGTGGTAACATTTAATTTTAGTATTTAAAAATGTATATAGACATGCATTAGGAAAAGTGTTTTAGTGTATCCTTTGTATACCACCTTAGTTTAAATCGATTAAGACTCAATTTCAAAAAAGGAAAGTTAACTTCTTTTAAAATATAATTTGAAAATAAAAAATTAAAACTAAGTAAATTGTTTTCCCATTTGCTTAGTAATGTTTTTAACATATTAGTGGCTATAAAAATATATTAGTGGCTTTAAAAGCCTAGTTTTGAAGCACATCCAAAGTTAGAAAAAATCAATTCTTCAGCAACAGAGTTAAACTTTTTAAAAAAATTTATATAAAAACTCATATTTTTAAAATGAAAAGTCAATAATACTAAATGCTCATAATGGTGACACACATACCCCCCAAGCTACCATTAAAAACATAATATTGGGTACCTCCAGGGAGTGCAAAAATAGAGTATAAGAGTACAATTATTTTTATTTAAAATTTGGCAGGTATGTAGTAAATAGATGTAGAAAATTAAATGAACATATTACAAAAATAAATCAACTTCAATATCAATACACTTCCACAACAGGAACGAAGTTTTTAATTCTAATAAAATTATTGAAAACATTAGTAACTGCAAAAAAACAAAAGCAACCATATAACAAAATTTAAACCTTCTACTTTTAAAATAAAGTTTAAGTTGATATAAGATTCTAAAAATTAAATTAGCAAAACACATACTTATGACATCTACGCCAAGCACGCTGTGAAAAAGTAGGTCACAGATTTTTATTTTAAATTGGTGCCGTAAAGCCATAATATAAAGCCAGATACGTATGAACCTAAAATATATATATATATTTTAGTCTTTTTTGTCACAAATTACTGTCAGGTTTTTGCACTAAAATCCAAGTCAACTCTTTGTGTATGTGTTTGTATGTGTTTGCAGTTGTAGTATATTAGACACTAATTTTTTTAACTAATTTTTTTAAAGAAAAGCTGCAAATGGTGATCAAATTTCAATGCACTATATTGGCACATTAGAGAAAAATGGCAAAAAATTTGATGCAAGCTATGATCGTAATGAACCATTTACTTTTGTATTGGGAGCTGCCCAAGTTATCCCTGGTTGGGAGAAAGGTATTCCAGGAATGTGTGTGGGGGAAAGGCGAAGGTTAACTCTTCCACCATCATTAGGTTAGTAATCTTTTATTCACATGAATTTTAAATTAAAACCATTTTTAAAAAAATTTTCAATCTTAAAGTTTCAAAAATTAAAATTAATTTTTAAATTAGTTTTGATAATAATTAAAATAAAAATTTATTAAATTGTTGTTTTCACTAAGTTTATTTTTTTGATTTATTTAACAACAAATAACAGTGTATTTATTTTTCATATCATTTTCAGCATTATAGTTATATATTATATATTATTATACTGACACTGGAACACTCTTTCTTATGAACTAAAAGCTCTCAATTCCATCTCAACCTTTAAAACCATTTAGTTGTACTTTTTATTAAAAAAATACAGTTAATATTTATAATTTCTTTAATTAATTTTTGTTGTCTTTAGTATTGTTTATTATTACTGTTATTAATAAAATATGTTTGATATTTCTATTTTCTATAATAATTTTTGTTGTCATTACTATTGCTAATTGTTATTTTTATAAATATTTACATTACTATTACAGGGCTCAATTTAATGGTCGGACATTGCTTCCCCTTGGACTGTTTTTGAAATCTGATTTATGGGGGCAACCAACCATTTTTACTGAAAAAATCAACAATGGTTTGTTGCCCTCCTCTAGCAGGTCTCAAGAATGGTCCGAGGGGTGGCGATGTCCAGCTATTAAATTTAGCTCTGCTATTATTAACTACTTTAAACTATTATAATATTGTTATTATTATAGTAATTATTATTGTTATTACTAGTGTATTGTTGTCATAATAATTGTTTTTATTGTTGTCATTATTGTTGTTATTATATTATTATTGTTATATTTTTATAGTATAACTTTTTATAATTACTACTATTATTGATATCTATATTATATTTATTATTGTTATTATCACTATTTTTATTATTATTGAGTTGACAGGTGTTTACTTAATATTAGTACTCATTACTATTTGTCCTTGAACTTTTATTCAGAAATATATTTCATTTGATTATACTGACACGATTATACTGAAATTTGTTTATTTGTTAAATCTAAAGAATATTTTGTGTAAAATTATTATATGAAAGACTTTTTCTTGCTTCAAACAACTTTATGAATACAATAAAAAAATGTTTTGATCCTTTAACTCAATTCAAAAGAGATAATGTGACTCAAAATGTTGTGCATTTAATTTGTTTTGGATTGTTTTTTTTGACAACAAAATAATAATTTTGAAAATTATTAAATTACTTTTGCAGCTTTATAAAAAAAGTTTCTTTTACTAGCAATAAAATTCAATTTTCCATTTATCATTCCTGTATCTTTTCTTTTCTTAACTATAAGTAAAAAAAGAGTGAATGTAAAGTAAAAAAAGAGTATCATACCAAATATTTTGTCTCCATTTATACTCTTTTTATTATACATTCATTTTTATTATACATTATGATATTCTATTCATCATTTTCTTTTATATGGATGTTTTTGATTTCTTTGTGTAGACAAAAAAACTTTTTTTTTTTTTGAAAATAACATAATATTGAATCATTTTATTTCAAAATTGTTAAATATAAGTTAAATGTTAAGTTCATATGATATCAAAAATTTAATATGATTCATCAAAATCTTTTTCACAAATAGTAGTACATATAAATTTAAACAAAAAAATTTGAAAATTTAAGGAAAAAATTAAATTTTAATATTTAGTTAGGCCATCATTTTATTTGAATAGAATTAATGCTTTTGCATCTTGCAGACGATGAGTCATCAGTTCTACCAGAGTTTTACATTCTTCTGGAGTTATTTTCTCCTATGATTTGATTATGACTGCTTTAAGATCATTTTGTCTTATGTAATTTTAGTCTCCAATATTCGATCTAGAATGTACCACAAGTGCTCACTGAGATTGATTGAGATTAAGGTTGTTTAAGATTAACTGGGCAGATTATTACTTTACATAAATATTATCTTTTTCAAAAATATTCCTTTGTTGGATTGAAAATATGTTTGGAGTCATTTTTCTGTTAAAACCTTTTAAACTTTGTTAGGTATCTATTGAACAGCTTCAAATCTTTTTTGCTTGATTTGTAAAATGATGTTTCGATTAATGGTATTAGATGTTTTTTTTTATGGCTTCTTCTAGCAATATCAGTTGTAGTAATCGAACTTTGCTTTTTCATAATGTCGATTACTGTTTGAAAAGGGGTTCCAGTCTGCTTATCAACTTCTCTGTAACAGTCATAGTCATCTTTGATATTTAAATTTTTTTAGTTTTTAGAAAATGTAAATAAACAGATTAAAAAAAAAAATTAATAACTTTTTATGTCTACTGTAAGTAATTAATAATTCTTATCATAAAAACATAGAGGTTATCTGTCTGTCTGTGGACATTTTTGTTTTCTGAGGTGAACTGAAAAACTATATTGCACAAAAATATTTCTAAACTTTTACATTTAAACCTTTTCAAAAATTAAATTTTTCATCAACCATTAAAATTGATCATTTTTAAAGTTATGGTTAAAGTTATGAATTTAGGTTAAAGTTAATTTGTTAGGTTTATATCTTTTTACAAACTTAATATACTCTTATTGTTGAACAAATTCATTTTGGTTTCACCTCACAGGTTCCCAAGTTTTAGAAATATTATCTTAAAAAAAGTGTTTCAAATGAACTAATATTGTATAAAAATCTTAAAAATAATACTTTGAAATAAAAAAATTATTTTAGATTTTAATATTCACCTTTTTTTTTTTAAATAATAATATAAAAGTTTTTTTATACTAAACGTGATGGTTATAAAACTTAAGATTTTAATAGATATATTCATATAGATATACATAATAGATTTTATTCGATTTATTCATCTTTTTTACAAATAATAATAAAATAAAAGTTTTTTTTTATATTATAAGCGATGGTTATAAAACATAATAATACAGTAAGTGATATAATTTCATGAAGTACTTTTTTCATCTTATATACAATTTTAAATTTTTTACAGCTTATGGTGATCAAGGATTTGGTGATATTATCCCTCCTCGATCTACTCTGGTTTTTGAAATTGAGCTAATGGCTATTAATGACAATATTGATCGAAATACTGTCTCAGATGTTGATGAAGATGAAAGCTTAACAAAAGAAGAGTTTGATAATTATATTGATGAATCTCAAGTTCACGACCACCATGACCATGATCATGATCATGACCATGATCATAGTCATGACCATGATCATAGTCATCATGACCACCATGACCACCATAACTCATTTGAAGGTATGATTAAAACTTTAATGGAGTGAAATAAATTCATATTTATTTCATAAGTTCATATTTAATTAATTTGCTAACTAATTAAATTAATTTGCTAATTAATCTAATAATATTGCTTTTACTTTTTATGTTGTCTAATTATATAACTTGTGTTTTTATATACTATATGATGTCTATTATTTACAATTACAGTCAAAGTAGTTTACATTTAAACATTTATTTTGCAATTTTGTATTGTCTAGGTACATTTTTATTTAAAATGCCTAATTCTAATTTTTAGAACTAGACCTAAATAATGATGGAGGTTTAACAAGTGAAGAAATGAGTACTTATATTCGAAAGTTTCAAGAAGCTGCATCAAATCTTGACGATATAGAGGTATGTTACATGTTAATGACGATTATAGAGGACGACTATATATATATATATATATATATATATATATATATATATATATATATATATATATATATATATATATATATATATATATATATATATATATATATATATATATATATATATATATATATATATATATATATATATATATATATATATATATATATATATGTGTATATATATATATATATATATATATATATATATAAATATATCTATAGAGAGAGTGAAATAATAAGTTTCTTTTTATTATTTGAGTGAAACAACAAATTCGTTTTAGGCAATACCCAGTAGTGATGAGTCTATTGAAACAATCGTTAGCGAAATATTTCAAGAAGATGATAAAAATAAAGACGGAATAATATCAAAAGATGAATATATGCATGCATCGTTAAATGAAGATTTTAATGAAGACCATATTAAAGAAGAGCTATAAAAATCTAAAACCAATAGTTTCAATTTATTTTACAAATAGTTTATTTCAATTGTTTTTGTTTTTTTTTTAATTTAAAAATTGTTTTCTCTCTCTTTTTTTTTTTTTTTTTTTTTTTCTTATTTGCGTCTTTTAATAATAATTAAAAAGATATATTATTTGATATTTTGTAACACTTTATTTTATAATGGGTTTCATCAAATTTTTATTATAAGAACCCATTAATGACATAAAAAACGAAATCTTTTTTGTTGTTTGTTTTAATTTTAATTATTACTAAACAATAATTATTAATAAATTTGTAATGTCTGTTTTAAGTTAAAAGTTTGTTGAACTAATTTAAGTTTTAATTGTAAATTTTAAATTTATTGGAATTCAAATCAGAAAAAAAAAGATCTTTTACTTGTTGTAACAATTCTGCAGCCCCCTAATTTTAAAATAGATCCCATTATTATTATTTACAATATATACATATTTTTTTTAATTTTCAAATTTTTAAGTTGTTTTAAAAGACGTTTTAAAAAACAAGAAGTATATTTTTTTTTTCAGGTTTAAAAATATTTGCTATGAGGTAATGCTTGTTTTGATCATAGTTATATATAACCTTGTAACCTTGGTTTTTTAACCTTGTTACTAGGTTTTTTAACCTTGTAACTAGGTTTTTTAACCTTGTAACTAGGTTTTTTAACCTTGTTACTAGGTTTTTTAACCTTGTAATTAGGTTTTTTAACCTTGTTACTAGGTTTTTTAACCTTGTAACTAGGTTTTTTAACCTTGTTACTAGGTTTTTTAACCTTGTTACAAGGTTTTTTAACCTTGTTACTACATTTTTTAACCTTGTAATTAGGTTTTTTAACCTTGTTACTAGGTTTTTTAACCTTGTAATTAGGTTTTTTAACCTTGTTACTAGGTTTTTTAACCTTGTAACTAGGTTTTTTAACCTTGTTACTAGGTTTTTTAACCTTGTAACTAGGTTTTTTAACCTTGTATCTAGGTTTGTATCAAATAATTAGAATGCAAATTTAAAAAAACAATGTCTTTTAAGAAAAAAATATACTTCTTGTTTTTTAACATTTATTGGTACTGCTTAAACATTCAATATTCCAATGTTAAACAAGAGCCTGTCAAGAACACTTTTTTGCATAACTTCTAACTAAAAAAAAATCAAACAATTGTATCAACTCATAAAATTAATTAACTCATTAAATTTCAATGTCTAGGAAATGTAGGTTAAATAAAAAATTGGCGATAATAAATCAAATCATCTTCCCGCTGCGATGAATAAACAATACAAATATCTTTTGTTTAGTTTAAAAAACTATGAAGAGATGCCTTTATATAATATACCAATAAGCAATAATATAATTTAGTTCACTAGAAAGTAATAAAAATTCCTTTTTCTCGTTTTTGATATCTTTTTTAAAAAGATCTTAATAATATTGGTATTTTTTTTAAAGGTCTAAATCATCACGTATAACACAAGGCTGCGTTTTTAAAAAAATTTTCTGTTTCTGGGATTATCTTATGTAATTCTTAATGAAATGGCCTCCTAAACCCGAATATGACATTCATTTTGCTCAATCAGGTCAGGTTATTGAAATACAGAACACCTATTTTTTTGAGAAAAACATAATTTTCAAGAAATCTCTCATTTTCATCCTAGTAATGTAATTCAATGCAATAATTATTTGTGAGCTAAAAAAAGCTCAATTTAACTCCTTTATTAACTTTAAACTTAAAAACAACTTGTGAAGTAATTAAATACTATAAAGAAAAAAAATAATCAAGATGTGACTGGAGAAAATGCATTTTTATTGACATGAAAGCTCCCAGTTTTTAGAAGCTTTTTATAAGCTCATTAGTGAAACAAATTCAGAGCTTCTTTTATTTCCCAGAAATCATTTAATTACTGTGCTGAACGCTCGCCATGCATCTCGTTCAACTCCTACCATTTTGATATCAAAATTTTTGTCTTTTAACAGAGTTCTAATTTTGGGTCCATCAAATATACCTGCATGTAGCTTGGCATCACTGATCTATGGGAACTTTTGAGATAGATACTTAAATTCTCATGGTAGGTTAGAAACGTCAAGTGCCTCTATTAAGTCTTTTACATCATTGCAATATGCCAAAGAGCTAGAAGAATCAACTTCAAAGAACTTTTGAAACTTTTCTTCTCTGTTTCTATAACAATAGAAGGTAGTTTTTTTGAAGAGGAGATTGCTCTCACTAAGACGGGAGCCAAGAAGTTGTGCATTTTCTTTAGAAAGACCAAGATCTCTGGTCAAGTCATTCAATTGACTTTGAATGAGTGGTCTTGGCAAAATTATGCTAGACGTTGGCTCATATGTCTCAGATATGTCAGTGTCTTCCACTTTTACACCTTCCATATCCTCTTCTAGTTCACCTTTCTTAGATGGAGAAGGAACTAGAATGTCTGGACCATATGGTACTGGCTTAATTGCAGAAAGAAATCAGGATAGACGTCAAATATCACGTCTTGCACACACTTTTATTTGTTGGATATAATCACTGAATTCTAATTTGCCAAATATGATCACTAATACCTTATTTTTCAAACATAAAAGTATGTTTATACTAGTGTACATCCAATTACACTTCTGATAGTCCATAAGGCTGTGCAGATGAAATTAAAGAGCCATACAATGATGTCGCTATGTGAGAAGCTAGATTATAAACGTTGGTGCGTTTACACTTCTGCCGAAAAAAATGCCAAACCACTGCTATTTTTTATTTTTTTTTCCACAATAATATGTACAAGGTAAATTTAGATTGAATATATTACTGGTAGGACTTCCAGAAGATCACAAAAAAAAGATCAAAAAAAGCAAACAAAAGCTCGAAAAATTACATCAGTTTTCATCAGTATATATAAAATGTTAATATATAATATATAATATGTAATCTAAAAAATATTGTCGTTCAGATTACAATTCCTTAATTATTTTGTGGAATGGGTAATAATTTAAAAATATAAAAATATGTTATCAATTCAAAAAATTACTTCTTTTAGTTTTCTTTTAAAAGAAAAATGATTCCAATTATGCAAAAAATCAAAATGTTTTAAAACTATTTTGTTCCATAAAAAGGCTCCACGGTATTGAATGCAAGATTTGCCTATATTTGATTGAAAAACTGGTTGTTGGATATGTTTATTATTTCTTAATATATATTTATTTTTTTCTTTCATTGAATATAACTTATGAAAAGAAACAGGACAGGCATTAATTTTACATTTAAACATAAAACAAAGAACGTTAAATATTTAATAATAAAGGCCTGGCATGAGTAAAACGATCTTTAAAATCAATAAGACATGCTACATGCTTCTGTTGACAAAGCAAAGGCTTTAACTTAATTTTGTTAATACTATCCCAGGCAATATTAGCATAGTTAATATGGCAGTGAATTAATGAGTAATATAGTTGAATTAAAGTATGTTTATTTAAAATGCTTCTTGTTTTATTTAGAATCCCAATACTTTTTGCAATTTTATTATTTAGATTTCCAATGTGGTTTTTCAATAAAAGATTTTCATGGAAATCATGGAAAAAGATTTTCACTGCTAAAGGATGATTTACCTCCAAAAGTAGCATACGGATATACATTTGCATTTAAACACTTAAATTTAAAATTAAAAAATAACAAAAAACCTAAAGTAATAATATGTAAAGTAATAATAAAATGCTAAAAGCATTTAAATACGTTAATCATTGAGAAAAAAGTATTTAAATACGTCAATGAAAGAATGAATTTTTTTAAAAAAGCGGTTAGGGTAATTTAATCAAACCTCGCGATATATACATCCGCACTAAAACTGCTGCTGACAGGCTGGTTTATAGATTTAGATCGATGAATTATGCATCGATAGATTGCTTAGTTTTTCAGCTACTATGCAAACTATTTATAAGTGTTTTTTTTTAACTTTTATAACTTTTATAAGTATTTGACATTAAATTAAAAACTCTTATCTAAAGCACTGAATCTCGCCCACTTGATCTCAATCTCCCACTGGGCGATATGATCTACAGGTGTGCAAGATTAAATCCCGTTAGTTGATTTCTAGACTCCAAATGCTCCTCTTGTTGTGTTTAGAGCATATAAATGTCAAATATCATAGAATTTTCCTTGCTCAATACTGAGATTAAACCCAATTCATTAAGTTAATTTTAATTACTTTGAAGCTACATTATTCAAAAACTTTAAAATATGACATAATATGAGATAGTAAAATATGACATAATATGAGGTAGCAAAATATGACGTATTATGAGGTAGCAAAATATGACATAATATGAGGTAGCAAAATAAAGTTTTGAACATATATTATAATATATAGTATTCAGCAAAGGTTACCCTATAGTATCTAATAACCCATAATCTATAAAAATCAACATTATCTAATTTCGCCAATAAAAATATGATTCCAACTAATTGTTGGGATGCAGAGGATACTGAAAAAGACTTCTTTTTAGTGGTTGTTTTAATCTTTTTGACGATCTAGTTTTATTTTCTCAGCCAATACAGTTATTTTTTCTTTTTCTTTGAGCCACTTATCAGCATTGGTAAGCCGCCGCTGTTTTCGCGTTTCTTTTCTCCTGAACTTTATCCTGGGATATTAAATATGCTTCTTGAGCAGTTAAAATAAAGAATTTATGTTGATCTGTTCTGCTTGCTGCCTTTTTTTGTCCAGTAGCCTCAGGATACGCCAAAATATCATTATCTCCATCATCTATACAGCATTTTCATAAAAAATACTTAGAATAAATTAACAAATAATCAAAAAAAGTTAAAAACATTGTTTCTTCATTTCCCAAAAATTGCATTGTTATTATAAAGTTAATGATGCCCCTCTCTTCCCCCCCCCCCCCCCCCTTCTATTAAAGAACATCTTTTAAATAGTATTAATAATTTAAATAGTGCTTAAATCAAATCAAAACAATCAGAAAACAATCAAAACAATCAGAAAGAATCAGAATCTAATAAAAATAAAAGAACCCAACTCCGCTTGTACCAACTCCAATTGTATTT